AAAACTTTGCTTATCACGTTAATCGCCGCGTAGGTCACCGGTGACCTACGTTAGCGGAGGATTTGCCTTCACCAGTTTTCTGACGGCAGTCAAAGGCTTATGTAATCGACTTTCTTATCCTAAACACTACTAGAGCTTACTTCAAACTGCACTGAATTTCAAGTTCCACATTTAAAATGGGAAATTTAAACCATTCTTATATAATTCCTTATATCTTACAGGCAACAAGAGAAGAAAGAAGATCGACCAAAAGTCTCTTACTCAATATTCTCGTACTTGGAGTCTTCGGTCCACGACAAGGATAGCTTCGCAGCAGAACAGAGCAAGTTCAGTGGCTCCAAATCATTAACAACTAATATCCTACCGAAGAATGATCAAAAAGCTAATGAAATACCACAAATTAGTACCCAAAATAATGACCGTACAGTCCCAAGTACTGATAATATAATAAAACCTACTACAAGTGCTTCAATATCAAAAGAAACTACAATAGGTTTCGCCAAAAGAATGACTGTAGCAGAACTCTTCTTGAAAGAATCGGAAAATACCAAAAAAGAAGGGGCTGAAGTGACAGATACCATACAAAAATTCGATAGAATGGACCTTTACAAGTCCATTTTTCTAAGCGATACTGAAGATGAAGAAGATACTGAAAAAAGTAAAGAAAATGATGGAACGGACTTTATAGATGTGCCCAAAAACGTTGAAAGAAACATGTCGCCTCCTCGAGGGATATTCGCGAATATAGATTTCGATGAAATCAACTCTTGGAGGCGGAAAGAACCGGAAAAAGTTCCCGAAGCATCTACTAAAAAGGATGAGAGTGTTAATGATGTTAGCAAAAAGGTTGATAAACCTGAAGAGAAAAATGATGATGAAGCCATGTATGGACCGAAGATACCAGAAAATTTACAAAAACGACTAGAATCTGAAGTCCATAAAGAGGATTTGAAAGAAACTATAGATGTAGACTCCACATCAAGCGAAGATTCCTGGGTCGATATCAAAGAAGTAAAGAATAAAAAACAGAAAAAGAAAAAATCTAAGAAACATAAATCTAAGCATAAGAAGAAATCTAAAAGTAAAAAGAAAGACAAGTAAGAAAAAGATAATAATATGTAGATGCATTAAATACCTATTTAGGTACATAGGCACAACAACGTCAACATTCACCTAATCCTAAATCATTCTAATACATTCTCTAGTAAAAAAAACAAATCTATAATTAACAATATCTTGTTTCATTTCCAAACGGAATTCTAATCGTAATTAAGAGGTGCAGAACAGAAAATGAAGTCGTAAGTAGGTACCACTGAAAATATAATTACAAATCTATTTTCCATTTTGCCTCGATTTACAATATAATTTAGAAAATATTAGTAATCGAATCAAAACTTTAAAACACTTGTAATTAAGTTTGTTATTCAGAAACCATGCCATTTTACTTACTTCGTTTTAAAAGAAAGATCTGTCAATATCGATAAGAGCTAATTATAAACCTACGTCGCATCGTCGAAACGCTACAATAGCTTGCCAATTTATTTTAAGAAGCATTTCACACCTTTGCGTATACCAAAATAAACCTACATACCTGTAAAATTATGTAGGTAAAGCACCTGTTTAGTGTAAATAATTTTAGATTTATTTTTTGTCACTGCACCCTTTACCCTTACGCGGGTATCATAGTATGTTTTTATGGAATATGAGGCAAATGAGCAGACGGATTACTTGATGGTAAGCGATCAGCGCCGCCCATGAACACCCGCGACACCAGAGACGTCACAAATTTTTTTTAAGGGGGGAAAATCATCTGATGACTGCGGGGCCTGGGCGAGGCGGGAGGGAGTGTCAGACTCTTACTGACTAAAAACCACCCCGTTCCTTCTCCTGCACTTCGAGCCGGACCCCGGTAACCCGTTAGGTTCTCCGCGGCTCATTACATGTATAGATAGAAATATTTATACTGATTCATACATCACACACCAATAGGCCGAGTCAGTCCAGTGCTGGACTATGTGCGAGTCTTCATATTATAAGAATTTGCCATTATCACCACGCTCATAAAACGGGTTGAAGATCACACAATTTCAACAGTCGGGTTTGAGATTGTTTTTCAAAAGGTTCAGGTATCCTCCAGAGCTCAGCTGTCCAGTCTCTGTTTAATGTGCAGTCCCTTTCCTGCACTTTACTTGACATAACTAAGTAAAAAAAATACATGTAATAAAACTATACCTAGAAGTGTGAATTCTGTACATTTAAAATAATAAAATAATAGTGGGGGTGTTACTAGATAGATAGCAAACCCAAAAAATGTTTGTCTGATAAGTTGTCGGATTTTGGGTTGCCAGTGCACTTTACACTGTTAACTGTAGGGCCGATGGTCGTAATCAGCTTGAACCGCTATTATAAATGTGAACATTTTTATGTTTGTGTGTATGTTTGTTACTCAGTCACATCAAACAAAACTTGGATCGGGATGAAATTTTACTTTTTACCCCAGGAACGCGAGTGAAACCGCTGGCAGAAGCTAGTCTTACATAGGTCACTTATAAGGTACAGTAGGTACTTGTAGCTGTTATAGAATAGACGTAATACCCACTTATGTATAAATACAATAAGTATCTCATATTATAGTCACTTTGGTATTTTGCCAATACGAGTAATGATTATGAAATATGCATCGCAACAAGTAGTTCTAAGTACGCTAACGTTGCCATAGCAACCGATATGGCAACAAATTATTGTTTTAATTTTTAGGCTATGCACTATTCTCTGCTGCCGTTCCACATTATGGCGCATTTTATTCTCCGAAACTTATAAGCCCTGAGCCCCATTCCTATGGATGAGTAGTGGGCTTATTGCCATACACCGGGTACCATTCCAAACTGATAACCTACCTAAGTACTTGTTGAGAAATTTAGAAATACTGAAACAAAAAACCATACATAAGTACCTACTCTGTTCGACTCGGAAATGAACGCTCTCAGCAGTCGCGTTCACAACTAATTGAATAGAAGCAACTACACTTTTTCAAAAAATCATCGAATGACTGCTCGAGGGAGTGTCAGACTCTTACCGACTAAAAACCATCCCGTTCGTTCTCCTGCACCGAGCCGGAGCCCCGGTTACCCGTTAGGTTCTCCGGGACAAGCAACTACACTTTGACATTAAGCCAGAAGCAACTAGCTAGACTTTACTTTAAGTTCTTAAGTACTATTTTTGGATAACCTGGGTCTTTCAAAACGCCTTTTAGGGAGTGTGAGGTTTTTACCTCACTAGAACCTCCCAGCCAGTAGTCAAATATAGGTATATGGGAGTTAGAGGTCCTTTAAATAGACCAGGTCAGGAGTCCTCATAATAGGCGCCTGATTAGGTACCTAAGCACTCAAGTATGTAGCATTGTCTGGACTCCTGTTTAAAGTTTAACTATAAAGACTACGCGACGTTAAGTTCAGTTTATCTTGTTTGAAATAATATTTAAAATATTCCATTGTGAATATAAATCAGTAAGAAGGTAGACAGTTAAATATAGAAATGTGTCTGCATATACATACATATAATAGGTAGGTACAACATGAGGTGTCTACGTACCTACCTACTTAGGCAGCTAGGTACTTATGCAAACTGTATTCTGCAATAGAAATGCAAATAATTGCCTGTAAGTCTTGTTACCGGTGCATTGATATAGCCAACTACGCTGTAGAAAGAAAAGAGTAGCTACAATGTGAATAATTAAATAATTTTCCGTCGCAATTTTGTCCCTGAACGACATCACGTTGAGTAGGCACCTATATGCCAACGCGGGTAAATGCTCATAGCCAAAATATAGGTCAATGTCGCTCTACCTACTTTACGTTAATTGAAGGGAAACTAAAACATCAGTTCAAAGTCCCCTGACGCTCGTTTATGCAAAAATACGTGATTTCTATTTCGAAGTAAATAAACATGTTATTGTGTAATTATTACGTCGGTGAGTGGGCGTCAGAGATCGCTCCAAGGTTATTTGAGAATGGCGGGAAACCGAGCAAAAGCTTGTTGCTTTACAATTTGTATCAGTAACATCGATAAATACACATCAATTTAGTTCTAGAATGTTATTTTAGACCTAGACGTGCTGTCTAGGTCGTCCTAGGAACAGTGATTCAGGGACGCGCATACTAAGACATAAATAATGCATTTTTAACCACGTCGATAAATATTTTTTATTATACAACACTCGCTTTCTTCTATCATTTTGTAAAGAATACAATAAAAGCGCGCCATGGAACTGAAAAACATACCAATTCGCATAGGACACATCATCTACCCAATTATCAATAACAAGTCCGACAGACAGAGACGAAAATATATAGCTTCAGCGATACAAAACGAGATGGCAAGTAAACTGTTGGTAGGATAGAGATGGAAAGTTATAATTTGCTTATGTTAGAAAGAGATACACATAAAACAGAGCTCGCAATATTATTTCTGCTGTCATGGTTGGTACGCATGCGTCATTCGATTATACCAGGGCTGAATTTTAAATGCCGATAAACTAGTACGTACTTGCACCTCGGACTGTTTGTTTACGAAAACAATTATTCGTCTCCGAAAAGAATTAAAGCTTTATATTTTTCGAAGATTTATATATAACAATAAATACTTATGTAATATAATCAAAGGCAACAAATTCCATATAATTTGTTGTAGAACCAAAATCAATGAACAAAGAAAGAAAATATTTGCTAATTGCTTTATAATGAAACAGTGCTTTAAGAATTAGTGGAATATAATACGACGTGTTAACTGTTACTTATTGGGAAAAACAAACCGTTCCAGTTCGGTCCTGGCAAAATACAATCAGCTGTTTGTAATGACAGTTCCTCTGACAAATACAAAATGGTTGAAAACTAAAGTTGGCAAACAAAGAAAAGGCAGCGTAATAGCGAATTTTAGCGTTAAAAACGTTTTTTTAAAGTGAAAGTTAGTTAGTTTATATTGTGTTTAGTGTTTTGTGCACGATGTTGGATTTGGAAATCGTCCCTGAACGCTCTCTGGGCTGTGATGCCTGGGAATTCGTTCTAGGTAAGGATCGCGTATGTTTATTTCTTACGTCAAGAATTTGCGCTTTATTTCTAAGGGACGTGTCTTACGCAATGTTGTTTTTAACAAATAATTAGAAAAAGTAATTAATTGGGTTCAATATGGAATAGGCAGAGTAATTGTTTTACCACCGCCTAACATTGATTTTTTTGTGGAAGTGTCACGAGCAGCCTTTGTTTCGCTGCTCTGTGCTATGTTTATTTTTTTTATTGCTAGTCTTGACCGTGAAATTAGTAGATTGCGTTGTTTTCGTGTTTGTTATGAGAATATGTATGATATCTATTTAAATTTCGACTTAATTTCGATGTTTATTTACGAGTGGCTGACTCAGAGTACTTTTACATTTACGTTACCCGTTATTGAGAAACAATGATGCAATTTTTAAAAGTAAATATTTTGGCAATGATTTTTATCTTTTGGAGTTAGATTAGGAAGTGTTTTGTTTTTATCTTAAGCTGTTGGAGAAGTGTCCTTGGCTTTAGTATTAAAAAAAAACCAAATTCTTAATTTGAAACTCTTCTACCTCCTTTTTTTTTTATTGAATACAGTAGGTACTTACACAAAACTGCCATTCTCATCCCATTTATATAAAAATACTTGGAGCCTTACATTTCTTAAAACTTAAAAACCAACTTTTTAGTAGGTACTGTTTTAAACATATTTGATACAAAAAAAAATTAAATTAAAAAGAAAAATGTAATAGATAAGTACCCTCTTTAAAACTATTTTGTTGACCCTGTTGTAAGAGACGAACCAAACTTGAAATATTAATTAAAGTGATAGTAATTAATTTTTAATTAGTACTTTAATATTTTGATAAGGTAACCTGGTTTCTTTTAAAACAGATCAGGCCATATTTGACATTGTCCCCTTTATAATCGGCATCACTTTTTGAAAAATAATTTATTGATAATACTACCTACATTATTTAAAATAAGTACTTAGTAGTTTAATGTTGTGGTAGCCTGGCAGCTTAAAACGCAATTCTCATGCATGAGGTCAGGGTTCAAAACCTACCAATGGCAAGTACCAATGTGACTTTTTCTGAGTTATATGTACTTTCTAAGATCATGTAGACACCACTGACAAACGGTGAAGGAAAATATCCTAAGGAAATGTGGGCTTAGAAATTCTAATTGCAAGTTTGAAATCTCCAAACCACATTGAGTAAGCAATTTCCAGAAATTATATCCAGTATTATCCACCAATCCTCCTATACCCAGGTATTGGAGAATTTAGAGGAATGATGTGGATAAGAATGTCTACCTTCTTCAGTGGAAAGATCATGGCTGAAAATAAAATAATAGAAGGATGTAGAAGATTAGAAGAATCTTCCACATTCCACTTTTAAATTTTTTAAAAGATTTCTTTATAGGCATTTATATCCCTAGCGTACGGCGCGTCGCTTTCCTCTTGTGCCACCACACCACCATGAATGGGGCCCAATAGGTCTGATGCAGCTGCAGAGCCGCACAGAACGTAAAAGGTTACAGGGGCTTCGGCTCCGAGCAGGCGTAGGAACAGGGTGGTTGTTAATCTGTAAGAGTCTGATACTGAGTCCCGCCTCACCCAGACGGCAGAACACATTCGATAATTTTCCTCCCTTAAAAACGTATATGAATAAGAGTTATTTTTCATTGTCTTTTTATTTTAAAGATAAGATGAATCTTGTATGAATTATGAGTATAAAGTTTCCATTGAACATTTTTTATGCAAAATAAAGTTTTATTTGGAATAATGCACATACATATCGTGTAAAGGGTAAAAGGGTAAAATAAAACTTATTAGATTTATAAGAATTCATTACTTTCATAAACTTCTAAGTTCTATTCTAGTTTGTCGCTTTGTTAGACTGATTAATTTTCCCAGTTACTATCAAGTTAATTAAAACTATAAAAGTAGGTACCTTCAATCAGTAATAATTATTATATTACTAACTAACAACCTCCCCTGTCAGTATGATTGTTAATTCCCAACTTCTCCGATATCAGTTATTTTGTTTTATTAGCATTCTATGCCATGCATTAAATAGGTGCCAATTTTTCAGCAGGTTTATTAAGAATTTCGTTCTTTTATAAATAAGAACTACCTCCAAGCAGTTACAAATAAATGTCGTTTATAGTTTAACGGCTCAATCCCCACGTGGTCACCACCAAGACCTTATTTTCGATGTGTGTTGGTGACTAAGTAGTCACCAGACTAAGTAGTTCATACAAAAGTTTGTATGAACAAATTTTGGGTATGATATATTAACATATTAAGCAATAAACTTTATACCATTTCTCTCCTGCCTACCTAAATGGGAAGCAAACACAATGTCTAGAGTCTCGACTCAACTATAATTCATTTTCCAATCCAGAATTAAGACTGAATTATAGTTGAAATAGGGCTCAATAAAACAGGTTTTCCTGCAAATAATATTTTTTTTGCATTCTTACTATCTGGCCTTTCATCTGCCAAAGGGGTAGGCGCAATTAATAAGTACCTCTCACAGATATTTTCCACATGATACCCACTTTTTGGTAGTAATGTTATGAGTCCCATTATAGGGTGAACTTGTTACAGTAAGACAGAAAGGCAACATTATCTTGTAAAAATTCAATATTTTTCATAAATGTTACAAAAAGCTTTTAAAAATTACTTTGAAAAAGTATTCAGTTAAATAAAACTAAGTAATAATAACAAAGAAACAATGTCATTATCCCCATACTGGTTTACAAACTTATGTTTACAGTTAAATATAACACGTTTTACATATAAATGTGTTGTTATAAAAATGTTACAGCTGTAAATATAAGTTTGTATACAGTATTGTTTGTTATCAGACACTATTTCTTGTCATTGCGTCATTATTATGAATTTTTGTTGTTTACAATTTTTTTTAAGTTGAATTTCGTATCTGTGCATAGATAATACGGTATTAATTTATTATTTTTCACACTTATTGTTTATGTTTATGTTAAAAAAAGGTTTTATTGTTAACTACAAAATTCTATTATAAACACACCGTAATATTTCTGTTTTATCTAGTCTTTGTACTGTACATAATAATATGGTAATTTTTAATAGTCTTATAATAATATCAGAGTATGCAATTGTGCCATAGAATTACCCCCCTTTTTTAATAAAGCATTGCCCCAGACTCGGTTTTCCTCCCATGTTGTGGGTGCGCTTATAAACATACAATTTCACATGACACTCAGACCCGAAACAACAATGGGGATGATGACAGGGTATGAAAATTAAAAATATAATTAGTCCGTAAGTTAGGTAATGAAAAAATATTAGACACGTATTTTTTTATTTTGTCGTATAATAAAATAATACTTAGATAAAACGAATCAAAGTTTAGGAGTGGGGGCTAAAACGTCATTTCTTAGTATAAAATGTACTGAGAAGTGACGTCACGCGACATTTCAAATCAATATATCTTCGAAACTATTCGTTTCTGTGAGAAAATAAAAAATACGTGTCTAATGTTTTTAAATAATCTATCAGACGGACATTAAAATAAAAATTAGTCGTCTACCCCATTTGTGGACACAAAGAGTTGCTTCGGGTCTTGCGTGAATCACACCAGCTACGCGCTGAATGGCAGCCAGATGCCCAACAAATGTTACAGTTACATAGGATTTATAATATAACTGGTGACAAGTTCGAATATATGCATCTCTGTCTATCTCTTCGGGAATTAAAAGGCGTGACATTATTGTATGTGTATATTTATGTTTTTCATTTACTTGATTACTCAGTCCAAATGATTGACACAACAATAAATTAATTAAACATAGATAAGACCAATATTAGATTGTTTACGAAGATTGCAACTTATATTGATAAGTGCTGTGCAATATTTATGATACAAACCTTTTTAATTAACCATTCAAAGATAAGTTAATAACAGCTTTGATGAAAAGAGGTAGAGATCAGCGTTTTGTAAGTAGAATCCAAAATAGGTAGGTATAGAAAAAGTTTGTTGTCGCAAGTCGCGACTGCCGGGCAAGGGGTCTCGGGTTCGATTACCGGGTCGGGTGCAAAGTATTACTGGGTTTGTAAAAACCTCAGTAGTACCACGGAGTCTGGAAATGCGCCCGGTATATGGCAATAGGCTCACCCCCTATTACATGGGACTCATAACATAAATAGTGAAAAGTGGGCATTACATTGAATAGCTGCATTAAGTGCCGTAAAGTGCACCTCTGCCTACTCCTTCGGGGATAAAAGGCGTGATGTTATGTTATGTGTAAAAAGTTAGTTGTTTTTGTTTTGAACTCAAATCCACTTTCTCCTCATTATCATCATCACCATTGACAGACTATGACAGACACCTCCTGGACTATACGACGACTGGTAGATTAGATTAGAAGGTTTGCTCTAATCCACGTTTGGTGGGCAGGTCAGGCCATCTCTAGTATAGATGGCATATAGTCTTATTTACACCATACAGCATACAGAATGGGTATCAATTTGATCTTACATAGATTTGCCTCTTTATTCTCAACTAACTTCTGCCCGCAGCTTGGCCCGTGTTCCCCTGGGATAAAAAGTAGCCTACGTGTAGCCTAGGCCGTAATTTATCTCTGTTTCAAATTTATTTCCGATCCCTTCTGCCATTTTAACGAGAGAAACATACATATAAACACACAAACCTTTGTAACAATTAGTAACATAGTAAGATTGGCCCCAAAAACGACACCAGCGCCACTTATAACGAACTTTTTTACTCAGCAACAGCCCTCCTAACCTCTATACTCTGTGCTCTTGACTGTAGTCCAATGACATGTGCAAAAACAATGCTCTCATTAAGCCATTGAGTCGGACTCTTTTTAATTTAAAACCCATTGTTTCTCTTTATGTATGATCGTCATAAAAACTAGATATGCAAGTTTCATTGATCACGCGTTGGTTGCTAATAACTATTATAAAGATTAGCAGATACATTAATTAATATGATAAAAACACGACACTTATTGTTGTTATGC